ACTCCTCACAGCGATGCCTTCAATCCACCATCTGATAATGGAAGTATTATGGTTAAACTGGTCCTTTAATGGGACATGTTTGTTTGAAATAGAATAAGACAAGGAAAGAATTAGATTAGAGACTTAGTTAAGATGCCCTTAGTAGCTGCGGAGATCTATATGCGGGATAATCTATTAATCATACTCTACGTAAGTCAGGCCGTTCTGGAAGAGGTAGGGGTGGAAAATAATTTAAAATCAATATATAGCACAATATAACTTCATTTAATGACAGTGATTCATGCAACATACATTACAACATTGAGTTTCTGGGGTTTGCTATTTGTGTGTTCCTTTTTTTTTTTAAAGCAATTATTTTTCAAAGTTATGTTGGAGGAGTTTTACAAACTTGTTCAATTAATTTTCTTAAGCCTATACACTGCAAAAACGATCTAGAAATAAGTAATTTATTAAATGAAGTGTAATTAACCTTATTTTTATCTTACAATTTGCCAATGAAATGAGTATATTTATTCTTAAAATAAGATAATTAAATCGTATGCGCTTGAAATAAAACAATGCAATAGTGTTTTCTTCTTTTATATGTAAATTGTTTTGTTTAATTGGCAAAGTGTCTCACTTACCTCCTCAATACAAGAACAAATGCACTTATTTTAAGAAAAAAAATGACTTACCTGGATTTTGATTTTTTTTCCAGTGTACAGGATTGTCTTGTAGGCATTCTTGGCAGTCTGTCTGAGGTTTTAAAAATTATTTATATGGATTATTGTAATTCTATCGTATCATCTGAAATTAAAATGAATACAAGTTTTGACTATGTCGTCTAGCCCCAATAATAAGTCGAATTTTATGTTTGCTTAAAGCCATATAGGGGGTATGGCAAAAGCGTAAGAAAGAGCTCTGGTCAGTTAAAAGAAGTTCAAACCAAAAAAAAACATGTTAAGACATAGTGGTGGAAGCATCATGTTGTAGGGATGATCTTTATCAGGCGCTCTGGCTGCAAAAGACAAGGAGACCCGGTTGGAGGTTTGTGGATCAGAAGAGTACAGTCACAGCTGAAATTGATTGGTTTAGGTCGCTCGCATACTCTTGTACTTGTCATCTTCCACTTATCCGGGACCAGGTTGTAGGGGAAGCAATCTCAGCAGAGAATCCCAGACTTCCCTCTCCCTAGGCACCTCCTTCAGCTCCTCTGGGAGAAGCCCAAGGTGTTCAAGACCAGACGTTAGACATAGGCAGCCGCAACAGATGTCTGTGCCACTTAAACTGATTCCTATTAATGTGGAGGAGAAGTGGCTCTACTCAGAGCCTTTCCAAGATGGCTGAGCTCCTCACCCTATCTCTAATGGAGTGCCCACCCACCCTTAGAAGGCTCATTACAGCCTGTTTGGCTGGAGTGAGGACCTTTCCCTGGCACCAAGCCTGGTGATCTTATTAGTTCATGCAGGACGTGGCCAGGCTTAGCCCACACAGGAGATGGAAGGCCCTCATCTAGTGGGCCCACCACCTGCAGACCGAACTTTGACCCAAAACTAAGAGGACTGGACATCATTCAAAGACAGAGGCCACCTAATATACAGACACAACTAGATAACTTAAACTAACAATGGCTTCAGCAGGAATAGTGGTATTTTGTCCAGACTTGGAACACTGGTTTAGGTCAGAGCATATTTTCTTATTAGAATGACCCTTGTCAAAATGTAGATCCAGAGGCAATTGATGGTCTGAGGTAAGACAAGACATTTCTATTCAGACTCCCTCCATCATATCTAACTCAGACTGAGCTGTTTCTCCAATAAGAATGAAGATGGCTGCTATTCTGATTAATCACCAAACCCAGAGGTGGTCAGGTCGTGTTTTTGACTTTCACTGTCCCCCAGCTTGGGCTGCTCAGTGGTGCAGTGGGTAGCACTGCTGCCTTGCAGCATGAAGGTTCTTGGTTAAATTCCTGGTCCAGGGTCTTTCTGCATGGAGTTTGCATATTCTCCCTAAGCACGCATGGGTTCTCTCCGGGTACTCTGGCTTCCTCCCACAGTCCAAAAACATGTTAGGTTAATTTGCTTCTCTAGATTCTCCTTAGGTGTGTGTGTGAATGGTTGTATATCCTGTTTTATCCTGCGATGGACTGGACACCTGTCCAGGGTGTCACCTCTCGCCCATAGACTGCTGGAGATAGGCACCAGCACCCCTCCTAACCCCAATTGGGACAAGCGTGTCGCATGGATGGATAGATGTCCTTCCGCTTTTAGACTATCAAACCATAGTCAAATGGCAGAATATCACTCAGCGCTGCAGAGGCTTAGTAATTAGCCATGCATTTGATTCAGGCTAAAAGTTTTAGGATAGTAGCTCTGCAAGGATGAGTTAGAAATGATGTAATTCACTTTTTTTAAAATCTCAATTGAATTTAGGAATATCAGATTAAATGGGGGCTGAATAAAGAAGTACAGTTCTTAGATTTTTATTTTATAACTCTGAAAACATTTTATCCGTTCCCTTTTTTTCCATCGTTTTTGTTTTCATGTCACTTAAAATGCAAACAAAATGTCTATGGTGGAACAGGACTAAAAGTTCACAGGGTTTTGAATACTTTAACAAAATTGAGTTAATTTATGAAATAAAGAAGCCATACTTCATTTATAGGAGTTTAAGAAACTGTGTTTATAACTTTCTTAGGGATTTGTCAAATCTTTAGCCGATAAAATAAACAGAAATTAGGATTTTTGTGCCAGCTCGGAATTTCTCGTCATTTCATGCAATAGCCTATTTTATCCTGATGCTACTTGTTGGGAAAGGCTCCAATTTTTGAATATCTTTGCTTATCATTTCCCACTAAGAGCCCATCCTCAGGATTTCTGACACTCATCCCAGTCATTAATACGTAACCTCGGTCTTAATTACAACCTCTGTCACTGGTGAGCTTCCCCAAGCTGCTGCTCTTGTTGACTCAGAGGCAAGGGAGCGAAACGCAGGGCCTCATTTTCGCTGAGAGGAAATGAAAACTTGTTTGCTGCTGGTCGCGCGGCCTGCTGGAAAGATGGATGGTCAAAGTAGAGCCTGTGGGGGAAGGAAGTGAGCTTGTAGGTGTGTATGTGTGTCTACATGTGAATGTGTGCTTTGAAGCAGAGAGGTCAGAGTTTGCCATGTGCCCTAGCTGCCCTCAGGCCTGATGGGCTTGACCTGTGAAGTGTTTTCTGCGTCCACCTCAGCTTCCAGCGTCGTCTTCAGTAAAGCTAACAGAGACATCCTGGGTGCGTTGAAATCCCTCTACTGCAGATCAAATTCATATTGTTTTACTCTTGGTTCAGACTGCTGCATTTTGAAAAGGCGCACTGACTTGAGACACGGTGATTTAAGCATCACTTCCAATCTGGTGCACCGAAGACGAAAACCCCCCCCACCCCATTTTCTGTTGCCAGCTTTCCACTCCTGCTACCTCTGCCTCCTTTGAGGCCTTTTGGCTTTGATTGAAACCCAATGAGGCAACTAATAAGTGGAAAAATAGAAATTTACTTGCTTTAAGTTCATGCGTCAGCTTTCTTTTTTTTTTTTTCATTCTGTTGCCGTACAGGGGCCACGTTTAGCACAACAATATCGCAGAGGCAAAGGCAGCCAAAGGAGCTGCTCAGCGCAACATGATGGTGCGCTTCACGCCCCATTTGCCACCAATACCCCCGGCACCCCGCCTTCTCCATCTTTACCTTTGCCTTTCTTTCAGGGCCACGTCTTTGGGACAGGTCCACCTGCAGGGGGTTGGAATTGAAATGCATTGATCTCCTTCTCATTGGAGACAAGCCTGTTGGCTTACGTCCTTCACTTTATTTTCTGGAAGTTTCAACTCTTGCTGTCGGAGTACGGAGTTTTCACTTATTGCATGTCGGATCCATTTAAAAAGTATATTTTAGCCCGTCTTATGGATTTTTTATAAATTACATGTTCAATTTTATAAAATTATGTAAAAATGTTCAGCAAAAAAAAAAATTCAAGAGGTTAAATAAAACCAAAGCTTAATGTTTTTCTTTTCTTTTTTTTTATGTCATTTTAACTAATAGCTTTTTGTATGTGAATGTTGGACCCCCCCCCACCAAAAGAAAAGTATTTATTCCACCCTCCCACCCCTTTAAAGACAAAGCATCAAAAGGCTTTTTAGAGCAGTGATTTTGTCCCTCTCCTGCTCACTCTCATTTGGCATCTTTCGGGGCACTGAAGCAGAAAATAAAGGAGAGGGAGACGGTCGCCTTCTCACTCAATTTTTGTGTTTAGTTAAAAGGAAAGGAAAGTGATTGCGCTGCTCGTTTTCCCCTCGCTGACAGCCGCCGAGCGGATGCCGATTAGTTATTGTATGATCATTTCGAGTCTGGTAAAGCTTTCCATTTAAATGCACCCAGCAGTTATTTTGCATAGCCACCCCCCTGCAATTTGCCTCAGCTCAGGAGACATTGACCATCGTCTTGTCCTAATGCGGTGTAATTGTAGGAGCACATCAGCCGGGTGGAAACGTCACACCACCGTGCTCCTTTGGGTCCAAACCGCAACTTACTGGAATCGTTTAGCCACCAACTGGGGGAAAAAAATAAGAAGAAAAGACACATTTCTATCAACCAGCAGTGCCTAAAGTGGGATTTGGTTTTTAGATGTTTGTTGTCGTGTGATAACCATTTAGGAAAATTCTCCTCCTGAAAAGAGAATGAGAAATGTCACTCAGAAAATCAGAGCTGAAAGACTGAAAGATGTGCAGATGGCTATCCTACTCCTCGTTTCCCTTCCTTCCTCTTGCCGAGAATGGGAAGAAAGTGAAACTAAACAGAGGATAAAAGTGGCACTTTTGTGTTTTCATCATCGCACCCTTTCATTCTGCATCATTGTCTCAGCTCCTTTACTTACTGTCTGTTATCTCCTCCTATTGCAGTCAGCGTGCCGTTTCTCCTTGTTGTTCATACCAAAGGAATGAAGAGTCTGAATGAAGGTCATAAAAAGTTGCTGTTTGGTTTGTTCTTCAGAGCCACGCTCCAGCTGACCTCTACCTGATGACAAAAAACCCAGAAGATTCTCCAAACATCCCAGATGTGCTGGAGATTGAGTTCAAAAATGGTTTGTACTGTTGTTGTTGTTTATTAGCGTCCGACAGGCTGAACTTTCAGATCATCTGCTTATTTCTGAAGATTAGTCTGCCGATGCAGAAACATAAAATATCAAAAATGAGAGTCCTTTTTAGAGCAATTTAGATGGAATGTTTACTGAAATAACTTACTAATAAAGAAATTAGAGTTAGTCCCACGGTGCTTTTAAAAAACGGACATTTATAAAATACAAAACAGTGATTGAGACAGGTATTCAGACAGCAGAAAATCCTGAAAACAGTAAATAAAGCACCATTATGAATCAACAAATGGATCAAAATTAACATCTGCACTGTAGAAACAAGGAAAGAAGTTAATATTTATAATAAATAAATGTCTTGTAATGGATAAAAAAAAATTGAAAATAATTAAAAATTCTGAAATTAAACCATTATTATCACTGAATAAAACAAATTAAAATATATCCAAATGTTGTCAAACACATTTATATTTATTGGAAATATAAAAAACAGATGAAATTATTTTTGGATGCAGATTAAATAATACATGATTAATTAGGTTTGCTTTGAAACGGTTTGTATTTTTAGTTGCTTTTTTAATTTATTTTTTTTTTTGCAAAATTTTTTTTTTTCCAAAGCTTTTGCTACTGCTATTTTAAAATTAACAAAGGAGCCTTCTCTGACAAGCAGGATCTGGAGAATCAAATAAATCAGACTGAAACCAATTATAGAAATAATAAACTGAAGCTGAGAAGGGCTGTCAAATCAATATTTCAAAGTTAGAGTAAATCATGCTGCCAATGAAATGCTCAGGTAATATTCCAAGAAGAACGTAGGGTAGTTTTTAAGATCACCATCAGACTGGCGATTGTGCCAAAAAACATACTAGTCATGCACGACAGGAGAGAGCTCAGTATAAAAGAGAAGCAGACTGAAATAAATCCTGATCTGTATTTGCACGGCTTGCTTGTTTTTAAGGTGAAACTGCTTTAGATTAAACTTAAGTTTATTGATCTGAGTTTTTCTGCTTCTCAGTTTAAAACGGTGTGAAAACCCAGAGAATAATCCTCCTCTTTGTTTTAACCAATACAATAACCATCACTTATAAATGTCTGAGCAGTGAAGAATGATCTGTTTTAGGTTTACCTGTGATTTTATTTTCATAAAAAGTTGGATTTTTTTTTTTTTTTTACGTTGTATTTAGTCTTCTTATAAATAAACTGCTCTGTACATGTGAGAACTTGGGCCTCTCAAGCAAATGACACCCCTGGATGCTGAGCCACATCAAAACTTATTTGAGATCAGAAATATAAAAGAACTTAACATGTTGTTGGATCCACAACATAAGTTAAACCCCCTAAGCTCTTTAATTATTGGTCAAGGTGAACTAAAAATGGAAAACCTTAATTTTTTTCAAATCTAGGATACTATTTGCTTTGCTAAATAAATCACCTGACTTTGTTTTCAAATATTAATCAAGAGCTTTCTAAATAATTGTTTCAAGCTTTTTAAAAAGCCATTTACTAATGGTTTTATTTAATTTTTATTTAAGCGTTTTTAGATTATATTCTCTGTCACAAATTGGACGTTTCGGATATAGCTTCACCTCACCAGGCAGGCACTGACAGAAATCTAAGCAGGTAAAGAAATTAAACTTGTTGATCTGTTAAAGACTATTTTTGTTTATATCAGACCAAATGCCATCGAGAAAAAAAGAAATCCAATTGCATTTATTGAAGCACTTAGGATTTATTTATGTTTTTAGCATGGTACGACTCAGCCTCTGGTTAACCCTTCACCTCACAAACATTACAATATTGTGAGAAGGGCTACAAACCATTTCTAACATTTCCAGGAATTCATTTAGAAGTGTTTTCCACTCAGAAGGTGCATCCTGTTGTAACACAAAACAAACATTAGAATTTTCCTCACTAACAGAAGATCCCGAAGTAAAATATTAATTCCCATTTGGGTTATTATGCAACACGATAATAAGAAAACTAAGACCTCTGATCTTAAACATGATTGAGATGCTGCTGCAGATGCTCCAGTGTGGCTAGATTACAAAAAGAAATCTGCAAATAGAAGCAGGGTCACGTTCTCTACAGAAATGTAAATAAAAATCATAAATGCCAGTTATTGCAAATCTATGATGGAAGTTATTACTGCCAGTGGCTTTAATATGTGGGACCAGGTTGTTCTAACAGACTTTTTTCCCTCTTTATAAATGAAATAAGGATTTAAAACCACAGTTTGTGTTTAATTCAGTAATCTTTTTCTTATATAAAGATTTGTTTGTTAATCGGAAACATTTAAATGGGAGAACCATTCATCATCATAGCATTCCATGGTGTTAAGAGAGATGGTCACAACTGTCACTTTAAAGCTGACCTCCTGCACTCCATTTCCACTTATGGCCACCCAGACTTATCCTTAACCCCTTACACCGTCACTTGGTCTAAAACAGCCACGTTTGGCCAGAGGGCCCCTCATCAAGCCGGAAGCATTAACTCCAGCTTATACTCTGAGCCCGGAGGGCCCAGAGGAACGATCATTAGAGATGTTTGCCGCAGGGCTCCGGCTTGAACACAAGAAAGTGTCACGTTTGTGCAAAGAGGAGATTGCAAGACAGATTCAGGCCCTGGAGGCAGATGACACAGATGTTCTTTCATCCCTGGTCACCAGGGGTGGCTGATGTGCAAGAACATCAGCCGGCTCTTCAGATCCAGTGATGGTTGATGGACGGCTTTATGAGCTATAATCCACATTTTATGGTAGTTCAGAAGTTTGCCAGGATGTTGCAGTGTGAGAAAATGTGCAAACCACAGAAGTTAAGGAAATGTCTGTCTGTTATATATCAACCTTTACAAGGTTACCGTAGAAAATGTTACATCCAGGCCGTTCTGCCTTTTCTGCCGGAGGTGAGGTGGGCTTTTGTAAAACGGTGATGCACCAGTGAAGCTGCGACTGGTTTCGCGGGTTCCTAGCGGCTCTGCTCTCCATTTTCACACATATTCTCCGGCCCTTTTATTGAGCGCACTATGACAAAAGCTGTTTTAGTTGTCCACACAAAGGCCCAAGCCCACTCCTCCCTCTGTGCACAAGATCAGCAAAAGAATGTTTCGTTTCATTCCCCCCTCCCACCTTTTCATCCCTGCCTTTCTCACCAAAGTTTTCTCACTGATTAAAAAAGAATATATAACAACAGGAACTTTTTTTTTTCTCCCCCCCCGTCAAACGGTCTATTCCCCATTACTCTCCCTTTTTTTTTTTGGAGGAGAAAAATTAAATTCATGCCTCCCTCCTGTCATGCCAAAGTAGTGAGGAGGAAAAAGAGACAGAGAGGAAAAATGTAAAGCAGTAATTTTTCCTACAACTGTGTCTGTGGTCCTATTGTCTGCACTGTTAAGGGTGCAGAAACTGAAAATAAAGCAGCTAAAGAGAACGAAGGAAGGGCCAACCTGGGCAGAGCGAGGAAAATAAGCGGAGGGATGAAGGACCAGAGCTAATACTCCCACGTTCAGCTTATTTTTCAGAGCCGTTTATGTATATGAACATCAATAAAGCACTGGTGTCACATAAGTTTCTCACCTGACTCGGATTTGGGAATTAAAGCCCTAAAAGTCAGCTTTTGTCCATTTAAAAAAAAAAAAAAAAAAATGGAAAGAAATCAGAAAAATTTATTTTAAAATGTTTTTTTAAAAAAAGTAAACTATGGCCCAAGGATGATGAGTCGACTCCTGCTTTGTTTAGACTTAACTCTTTTCACACGTCTGTTTGTTTCCCCACCGCCCACCTTTGGCCCCTGCTGCTCATTGAGGACCTTGAATAAGCAGAGGTGACAGTGACTGATGTACGCTTGTCTTATGTGGGTTTGTAGGAAGTGTGTGTGGAGTAAACTTCTGTTTGTTTTTTGTTTTTGCCTTTTTTTTTTTCCATTGAAACAATGTGCAAGTTGCACATGGGTCTGTTTTCTGCACATGTGCATGAGCCTCAAAAGCCGTGGAAAAGGAAACAAAATCTCAGCGTTAAAGAGAGGATGGCTGACAAAGCTGTGTAATTGAATTAGGTAGAGGCCAGCCCACAATTTCACAGCTTTCAAACTTAAAGAGCCTTTGAATTTATTAGCCTTTCTCATGATTGCATTTGTTAAGGTTTTCAGTTTTAGATTGTATCTGTTGATCTGTCTGAAACGTGAAACAACCTGCAGGAAAATCTACTTTTTGCTTGTTATTTGGGTGTGATTAAATAAATATTCTATCTCAAATGTTATATACTATAACCTTCTATTTTTTAATTATATAACAGCATTTTTATTTCCTTTTTTTAAGTTGTCGTTTATCCAATGTTGGTGTAAATCCAGCATATTTTACCCCATTTTTTAATATGAGTTTAAGATGACGTGTATTCTATTGTGGAAGTTTAAATCTCTGAGTTTTCTGTCCATTAGCTTTTTTTTTATCAAAATAAACAAGTTAATTGTGGCTTATTTTGCAGATGAATCATCTGAACCACATCTAATCTAAACCTAAATATGTCTTGTTTGTGCTGTTTATGATCCACCTGTCGTGTGTGTTATTTGTTGTTGCAACTGATTTCTCTAGGAGTTCCTGTCAAAGTGGTGCATGTGAAGGAAGGGAAAACCAAAGAAACACCACTGGATATTTTCTCATACCTCAATGAAATAGGGTAAGTGCTTTGATATATTAGGAATAACTCTAAGAAACATGTTTTAAGAATTAGCTGAAATATATTATTATTTTTATTTTTTGGGGGGGTAAACCTTTTGATTTCTTTTCTTTTTATATATATATCTAATCATCTACCTGGTTTAACTTGACCCAGAAGACAGCACTGAAATTGACTCAAATCTGCATAAATTTGAAATGCTAGTATTTGATCTTCATTTACATAAGCTGTGGTGGGTCACCTGCTGTTGTTTAAGAATGAACTATCACTGATTTTCCATTTGTTTCTGTGTACATCTTTTTTGCTTTAAGTTCAGTTTGCCAAGGTTTACATTTGAATAGATTTGGGTAGAAAATACAAACAAAAATCAAGTAAAATGCTTTTTTTGGACTGTTTTTCAAATTAATGTTAATCTCATGCTTTAGAATTGAAAATATCTCCCATGATGAAGAATAAAAGGTGTTATGCTAGTGGTAAAGATGGTTCAGCCATTTTGTTTAGAAGAAAGAAAGATGAAAAAAAAAAAAATTTTATTTCTCCATTAACTTCACCTACCTGAACATCTCTTTGTTTCTTAGTGGAAAGCATGGGGTCGGTCGGATTGATATTGTGGAGAACCGTTTCATCGGCATGAAGTCACGCGGTAAGACATTAAGATTTAGTATAAAGTATGTGGAGAATAACAGAATTTTAACATGATTTACTACTGAAAACCTGCTAAATTTGTGCATAAAATAACAAAGGAAATTAACCTTTTTCTGCAGAAAATATGACTATTTGCACAAATAATCTCTGAATGCATTACCATCACTTAGAATTAGAGAATTATATAAGAATTAAAATTTTAATCTAAGTGCATTTTTCTAACAATTGTAATAAAATAAATTGAAATTAAGGGGCGTGCAGGTAGCACAGCGGTCAATGCGTTTGACCCATGTACGGAGGCCTTAGTCCTCGACGCGGCTGACCCGAGTTCGAATCAGACTTGTGATCTTTTTCCGCACGTCTCCCCCTCTCTCATACCCCGTTTCCTGTCAGCCTACTGTCGAAAAAACGAGCCACTAGTGGTGCAAAAAGTAAATAGAAAAAATATATTTTTTAAAAACTTTACGATTTGCTTTGAAATATACTTTTTCACTTATGCAGAAAAGCTAGAAAGTAGTATAAAAGCAAGTCATGCCCTGTATTAAGAAAGATGGAGGATCAGTGATGCTGTGGGACTGTTTCCCTTCCAAAGATTATGGTAAACCTTTCTGAGGGAAGAGCATCATGAACAAGCGAATAGAAATCTATTGATCAGAAAACATCTGAAATAATTTGCCAGACAGGAAATCAGCAGTTTCCTGTGAACGCCTCAGTCATCAGTCCTATGTTCTATAGAGAGCTTGTGATCAGAGCTGAAGAAAAGAAAGTGAGTGGACCCATGAATCTGGACACTATTTAGAGATTGTGCAAAAAGAAAGGGTCAAAAATCTTTCTCCTTTTTCTCTAACTTTAAGAAATATTATAAACAAACTCTAACATCTATTAGCAATGACTTGATTGAAAGAAAGAGGACTAATAACTTTAACACTTTTGATTTTTAGAACATTGTCTTAAAATGAGTTTCCCCTAAATTATTTATAGGCTTAAATCAAAGGTTGGGTTTTTTTTTTTGTGCAAAAATTTCAAAACTGGATTTTTTTTCACTGCATTAAAAGATGTATTTATTCTAAGGCTTTTCAACCTTGTTACCTTAGTATTCTCTGTCAGTATTCTTTTAAGTATCCAAGGCTTTCATGCACTCTGTAGTTATTTTACATGAGTGCTTTAAATGTCTCACTCTGCTGCCTCCATAAAGTCATGTCTACCTCTTGCTCACCCGGACTCAAGATGCTGTTGATATTTGCAGTCTTCTCTGCACTAGAGAAAAAGCATACTGTAAACTGAGAGGAGGATATTGCTGTGAATGCTCCAGTGGATACCTGTAAATACAAAGCCAGTCCCTTTATTTTGTCCACACAATTACAAAAAGATGTTTATCTGCATTAATGAGCCTCAACTCCTTTGTGAGGTTTCTACCATTACAACAGCAGAAACAAGCGTCTAAGGTTTAGTCCTAGTTTAGCAGAAAAGCACCAAAGAGGACACGGACAGGCTCTTCTTTTTTCCCCACTATACAGTGTGCTGTGATTGGCAAATTGACTGGCCGGCAGACTGTGACCGCGCAACAACTTGGCAGGTAGAAATTGGAAAATGGGAAACCCACTTTTCTCTCCCCTCGGCTGAACAAAAGATCAAAGCTGTTTCCTCTTTGCAAGCAATAGGAAGAGGTGGAGCACAAGGTGCCCGAGTGGTTGAATAACTACCATTGAGCGCATAGGTTGGCCTCTTCTGGAGTGGCAGTTGTGTGAGCACAATAGACGATGGGAGGGATCGAACAGGGACATGTCATACTTATTTGTGTTTGGGTCATATTTATTTGTGAGGGGTCAGAGAGGCGGATGGGACTCAAATGGTTTGTCAAGAATCTTGTCACTGTGGTACATTCAACAACCTGTGTGTGAGACTAACGTTTCCCAGCTGTCAGGGTGCTGTCAGACCTCTGGCTTGTGCTCCGATGAGGGTCTCAGAAGCAGTCAGCGATGGCTTCATCATCCTTATGATGCATCGTATGAATCTGCTGCAAAATCTACAGAAACCTATTTTAAAATCACTGTTAAATTTTAGTTTCAATGATTTGCGAAAAAACATGTATTGGAAGATATTTTATTTCCAGTGTATCCAAGAATTTATGCTTTATGCTTTCATAATTTTGTGCCGTTGCAACAAGAACCATGTATTTTACTGCTATTTTTATGCTAAACCAACACAAAATTTGTTATTGGGAAGAAGGGGAGAAAGGATGTTTTCTTCTGAGTTGTTCACAAATACAGATTTGAGGTGTGTCAGCCATTTGTATTTAGAGTCAGTACTTTGTAGGATCACCTTTCAATATGATGACAGCTACAAGCTTTTAGAGTGTGTCTTTTTTCCCCATTCCTTATGCTAAGTCAGATTTATCTAAGATCCGATTCTCAGTTTGATTTTGGTCTGGACTCTGACTAGGGCATGAATATGCTTTGCTCTCAAATATTCAACTATATCTCAGGCTGTTATCATAGACAAAGACAGTCCCACAGCATGATGCTGCCACGAACACATTCATAGAAAGATGTTTTTTAGTTGTTTTTTTTTCATTACCGTACTAGGCCTGCCCTTAAACAGCATATCTGAGTAAGGCTTGAATGTATGTCTACTTGGACCACAGCATCTTTGTCTGCATGTTTTCAATGGCCCCTGTGTGGCTTTATAAACTGCTACCTTCTTATTACCACATTTTAATGTACATTACTAATACCTGAGCAATGATTCTCCCCACTCAGCTGTGACTCACCACAGGCCATCTGACATCTTCTCTCATCGATGCTGTTTAGGTTAGATGACCATGTCTGTAATTTTGCAGATGTAGGCTTTGTCCTCATGATGCTGCATCAGTGCTTTCCACCAAACATTCCCAGAAGAGCTGGATTTATGTTGAGATTAAAATTGCACATATGGGAGCTTCGACTGCTAAATATGACGATTTGTTAAGGAAATGCCTGTAATTCAGTAAACTGAAAAATGGAAACTATGGATTAGTTTCCTTCCGCTTCACATTTATGTAAAACTTTGTTGGTCCCTTAAAACAGTCCCAGTGCTATATGCTGAGGTCTGTGCTTGTAACATGAATAAAATCGAAAAAGTTTAAAGGATATATTTATTTTGCTATGTAAGTGCTGCCTGTTTAAACCCTTTTTTTTTTGCTCAGATGGGATCAGCTCAGGAGGAATCCAATCCCGTCCTGAAGCCGTGCAGGCCTGCAGCGTGGTTAGCATACCTGCAGCGGCTCTATGAAAGACTAAACCCACTGAGGGTCGCGTCTCCTTAAGCCAGACTGTAAAGCTTAACCAGACAGTGTTAAATTATGGGCTCCAATCAGTTAAGCTAGCTCTCTTTGGCAGCACTTAAGCTGAGTTGTGTTTGAGGGCAGTTTTAAGTTATCTGATCGAGGTGAAAAGGAAATGTCCTGACGTACCCTCTGCAGCTTAGGAACACCAGAGGCCACAAGGTGTTTTAGCTTGGTTTGGGATCTTTTGAAGCTTTAAATGATTATTAGTATTTCTGGGCTGGTTTTCTTTGTTTGCTTCACCACTTTTACATGTGCCAATTGGCCATTTTATCACAAGTGCTTATGTCCATATAGTCAGTACAATCATTATAATTGTGTGGATGCAAACATTTAAACATAACTGTTAAAGAAAAAGACTTTTTCTAAAGGTTTGCGGTTTTTATTAAGTCAAAAACACCTGACCATCAGTCCAGTTTCAGAATGTGTAAGAAACCATGTAGTATTTGAGTAAAGCATTCACTTTCCACAAATATAACCTTTCTTAATAATAGACGTCATAGATTTAGCACTTTCTTTTGTCAATTCTGCTTTTCAAGATTTCCTCTACTCTCTTTTTTTTTTTGTTTTAGCTGACGTTTAAATGACAGCTTCATTTCTCCTGTCATGTACCTCATCTTTTCTTTCACCCCTCCCTCCTTGTCCAGAGGGGGTAAATTGCAGGGTAGACGGGGCCTGAGTCCAGACTCCAGGCTGGCAGGGGCCTCCCAACCTGTCATTTACCCAGGACAAGCTTGTCCATGATTTGTGAGCACTGTGGAGACCTGTCTATCACTTTGCTAATGACTAATAGAGCTTCTTGATGCCCTTCACTCAGATGAACAGGACCCATAAATGGCCATAGACAATTAAAGTGATGATAGGAAGGCTTTAATAAAAGGTTTTAGGATGGTAGAGCTCACAAACATCTTTTTGCTAACTAGATAACGTGCAGAGCTGCTTTTTTATATTTTGCCAAATTTAGTCACATTTCAACTACAAATTTCAAAGCATTTTGGTTTTTGCATTTTATGTGACAAAGATAACGTGTTGTATAATTTTAAAGAAGATAAATGGATGTTTTTGTCACATCAAAAAAGTAATGCATGAATTTGTATTCAGCCCCCTTTACTATGATGGACTAAATTAAGTCCAGAGACAACTAAGCTTTAAATGAGGCCTATTTCTAGATGCCAATAGCAAAGACACAAGGAACACAGGTCCCTCTCTCTTTTAAAAGAACATGCAGCTCAATGCAGAAAGCTTGAGAGGTTGAGTATAGAGGCGATCTCTGTAGGTGCTTCAGAGATCCGAAACCGACCGACTGACCGACAGACAGAGATAGATGGAGTTTTTTTCTTGTATTGTGTCGGCCAATGCATTCGTGTGTGGGCGGATTCGTTAGTGCATCAGCATCCATACCTTTAGACCTCGTTAAGGACATGCCTTGCTGCACCCTCCATTAACTCATAAATATATTTTTTTCATGTACCTAAAATAATCCAGTTTAAAAAAAAGGCAAAGATGGAAAATATCAGTTTGTTGCTCCAGATGGACATTTTAGACCAGCATCCGTTTTGGAAACCACTGCACTCAGCCTGATACACACATCCCCACTATGAACAGCAGTTGTGACAAGCTCCTACTTGTCATTATTAATGAAACATTGTTTACTGCTAAATGAAGGCTAATGCCAGTAAAAAGCAGCTGTTTAAAAAAGTTTTAATGACTAATAAAACGTTTGCAGGGCGTGGTTATTTATTTTGATGTCCTAATCTTAACAGGGATATATGAAACTCCTGGAGGCACTATCCTGCTGACGGCCCATGTAGACATTGAGACCTTTACCATGGACAAAGAGGTCCGCCGGATCAAACAGGGACTTGGCATCAAGTTCTCTGAACTTGTGTACAACGGTAAGCATCCTTTCAGTTTCATAGTAAATTTTTCTTAGAGCCACTAAATCTAATTCCTCCCATCCACATGTGAGATCTAAACGTACCGCATACAAATCCAAACACACCCCACGGCATGGTTAGTATGTTTGCACATCTTTGTGAGCTCTTCTTGGCTCAGGTGTCTTAATCCTCCCTTCTGCCGAGTCCCAGGTTGTCTGCACCTTCATCCACATAATAGGATCAGTGCCATTACAGACCGACTGCTAGGCCGCTCCAGTTATCCCCTCCAGAGACGCTGAGACAAACACACTCACACACACATGCAGAGGTGCTGCATTCAGGAACAGGGCAGAGATTAAACCCATTGTGGGTTTAAATCATTAATAATTGCAGATTGCAGACGGCTGGTAGTGGAGGAGCTTATGTTAACAATCCACCTGCTCTACATCTGTTTATAGCTCTATTTACCTAAACATAGAGCTGTATGGGACATATCTGTATGCTGAACATAAAACAAACAATCCAAATATATGCTTGGGTGTGCTTAGCAGTTTAGATATGATTCGTAGTTTTGTATGATGTCAAATTTAAGACTGTAATAGCATAAAGTTAAATACAAATAAGTTATAACTTTACATTAAAGTACAAAAAAAAAAAAACTCAACTCTTGCTGTATTTACCACAGACACATTTTGCCAAAAAGGCCTTAACAGAACAAACAATTATACCAAACTTTTGCAATATATATATACACACTTAAAGACCCCACCCCCACACACAAACAACCAATATGTATTTGATGCTTTTAGTACTATGTGCCAATTCGAAGAGAATTAAAGCAGGAGCTCATTGTGCCTTTCAACATACCCAGACGATGAGGTGGAGGTCGGCTGCTGATGAGAGGAGGACCCCTGCTGAGTGGGGTGTGCCTGACCTCTGAGCATATATAGACACATCCCTCGCCCATCTGTCCCTGGGCTCTGATGGTGGTTCAGGTTTGCAAAATGGGCGAGAAGAAAAGAATATGCTTCTGCTCTGGGATGCTGAGCAGAAGCGGAGATATAGCACCTAAAAGATTGTGCTTCGGATGAATCCATGCAGCTTCTTCTGCTATTGGAAAGTTTTCCAGTTGTTTGTTCTGTTCTTCTTCTTTATGCATTCAGGTATATTTTTTCTGCCCAATGAATTTATTTTAACAAAGAAACAACGTTTAATTTAGACCCCTTCCCCTCTTTCAGCTTTATGTATCAGCAGCCTTTACTTTTCAGCAGCACAGTAAAAACCAAAAAAGAACAAGCAGTCTTTGCAAGTGATGTAAATATTTTCTCAGTTTTATATCACTGTTAGTTCTTGTTATTGATTCATTTAGCTCATAAGTTGTTTTCTTCTTGCTTCCTGATGATTGTGTGCAAACAAAACTTGCAAAATCCATAGCGAAATTAGATCATGGTGCTTTGCTCTCCACTGTGAACAAAGCACAGGTTCAAATCGTCACTGAAGAGTGTTGTTGGAGAGTCATCATAATTTTATGAAACTCATTCTTTTTTTTGCCGTTTTTTCCCACACCACAGATTGGGTCTAGAACAACAAGTGTTCAACACTGTCATGCAATATATATGTTACACCTACACCTATGCCACCTATCTTTCCCCTCTTCCCTGTCTGTCTCTCCATCCATCCATCCATCCATCCATCCATCCATCCATCCATCCATCCATCCATCCATCCATCCATCCATCCATCCATCCATCCA